GTTCTGATGCATTAGGTAGATTTTTTTTTTTTTGTGCACCTTTCTGGCTATATGCTACAAGTCCGTATATGAAAAAAGAACCACTTGTCTGGTACTGGGTAAAATCTCATCTGTGTCACTGAGCGTATGTGTGCACCCTGTCAGCATGAAAGAACAGCAAAAGGGAGGGCAGAATTGGAATGGAAAGCTGAACAGCAGGGCATTCGTAAGCCTTGTTATAAAATCAAACCCTGAAGACACACGAGAACACTGTGTATAGAAACGCATGGATGCACATTCCTTCCTGGAAAACAGAAAGCATAAAATTGTTCTTGCTAAGAACCACTAGGAAGTGATTGAATTTGATATAAAGTTGACAGCTAACCTTAAGACCCTTAATGATGACTTTTCTATTCATTGCACTTGTCCATATGTGTACTTCTTAAATTCGGAGTGTTCTCTGTCAGAGGGGAATCTATTAACAAGGGTTTGACTTCTCTTAATGAAAGGGTCACACAGAGATAATAACATTTAGCCTGCAGATGATCATTAGCCCTGCAGACTTACAAAGACTCTGTTGCTCGGAAAGAAGTTCAGGTTTTAATATGATTTCAATTGATTCAGTACTTTCAGCAGTGGTGAATGTGTATGTCTAGTCACAAGTTGTGTAATCAAATGGTACAGAGGGCACAAACTTTAGTCTGCAAACCACTGAATATCCAAAATCATTAAACATTGTGTGGCATACTGCAGTGTCAAAAGGAGCAGGTCTAATATATTCTCAATTCATATAATGAGGTACATCATTAAATCATCTCACCAGAATTATAGTGAACCTTGACCTAATTTGTGTTACATATTTGTCCAGCCTCTGCCTCCTGCAGTCTCACAATAATGGAAATGTATGATTTATTAAAATGCTCGGGTTAGGAAATGTCAGCTGAGTCACAGAGAGAGAGAAAAAACTGGATGGAAAAACCTAGAGGTAAAGAACAACGGTAAAAGAGAATTGGCAAGATAGGGTGTAGAGAGGGTCGTCAAGAGTAATCGTTCTTCCTGTTTTGCATTTTTAAGGGTTCTCAATTCTCATCACGCCTCGCAAATTAGGCAAAGGGACTGGATGGTTTCCACAAAGGCCATGGCAACAGTGTTTCTAGGGAACGTTGGGTTTCTTCCATGCTGTCAGATAATGTGGACAGCATTAGACCAGATGGGATCAGGGAGCATATTCCTACTGTTTTTTAAGAAGAAAAAAAAAAGATCAATCTCTAACATGCAGAGAGCAGCAGAGCCTGTTATGGTTACTAACAGGTCTAAAGGAGGACATGGAAGATATTTGAATATGCCCTCCATGCACGTAGTGGAGCACTGGAGAGGATCCATCTGTTAAAATATTTTTAAAACTTTATCAATCATTTATTCAAAGAGTGCTTGGTTGGAAAAATCCTGGAACAATGTCTCTATCTTTCTCTACCTATGTTTAATTAATTATTTAATGTGATTCACATGCTTACTGTAAACGAACTTAGTGTTGGTTTTGTTTTTTCGCAAACCAAGAATTATGCTGCTTCTCAATGGCTTTCATAACAGTTCTAATTGGGATCATACTCTTATTCCTAATAATATTTTTAATGAACTCCCATTAAATTTGGTTGGTGATTTTTTTTTTTATGTTTTACTCTAAGGGCCTCATAGCCTTGTTTCCTTGAATTGTATACATTGAACAATCTTTACGCTTTCCAGTATGTTTCTTCATCTTAAAAGAACATCCTGGTCTTTCTAAATTCACAAATACATGACATTAAAATGTTGGCCTGCATTGACAAAACATACATGTTATTAGTTTTGATTACAAACTTGAGAAAAAGAATGAAAAGAATGAAATTCCACCCCTTATCTGATTGAGAACATATTTTGAGGGATCAAATTCGAACACAAAGTATTATTCAATAAAGGACATGCAATCCAATAAGGGGATTATTTATCAAACCATGCTCACAGGACTGAGCAGTCAAACAGGTAACATGCCTTGTAAGTAAGCCACCAGTCAGGGAGGAAATAGAAACAATGAGATGTTCACCATGATTGATGTGAGGGCTTCTATTACTACAAATATAACATGATTATGAACCATGTTAAGGCCTGTTTTTCATGCAGTTGATTAATTCAAATCAAGGCATCATGAAACTGTTAACATGTTTTTATCAGATGATTGACCAAGATCAAATGAAATTTTGGATTGGGAAACTAAGGGGGTGATGGGTTTCTGGTCTTCCATGCACTGCTGGACATCTTATTATTATTATTATTATTATTATTATTATTATTATCATTATTATTATCTGAACTAGTAAAAGAGTTGACTGCAAATCAGCATAACTTTCATCAGCTTACTTCTGAATAAGAATGTTTTTTGAAGTCATAAGAAGAACTTGCACAATATTGACCTTCAACTATTAGCCTACATTTTAAACTGCAATTCCTAACACTGCTTTAAAGAAGAAAAAAAAAACAGATAACATGACATTTAAGTCCAAGCAAATCTTTATTTTTCTACAGGATATTATGTAGATGACAAACAGTGCTCTTAAGATAAAGGTCAGGATTTCTTGTTTCTAAAGAAAAGAGAAGTTGACATATCAAAGGGACCAAAACACATCAGAAAGTCTTCTGAAAGGCTGGCAATGATTTACTCAGAGGATTGCGGTATTTCAGTGTTTTTATCATTAACCGCCAAAGCCCAAAGGCCTTACACAGTGGTGGAAAACAGCTGCTACAAGCTGATGCACAAAGATGAAATATTCCTTTCATCCTTACTCCTCAAAACATGTTTTTTTTTACAGCCTTCTCCAGAAATGAATGGTTTTCTGCGACTATTCTGAGAGATACAGTTTCATTTAACAAAGATCAGATAATGGGTGCTGGTTAAGATCAGCAGTTTGAGCATGCACCTCAAGTATAGAGGCTAAGATCCTTGTCACAGCAGCTATGGGGTCAAGTCAGACCTCAGGCCTTTGCCGCATGCCATCACTGCTCTCTCCAGCTGTCCTATCCACTAAAGGCAAAAATGACTTTTCCATCTGTAAACTTTCAACACACAGCTCATGAGTCTAAATTGGAGAGCTTGTACTGAAAAGGTTTTATTAACATGAGTCACTGAGAATTTTATTTCTGCATCCTTACAATCGACATAAATGGACTTAATGGAGAAAGAAAAGAGAGACAGTAAGCCTTTTGGATGTAAGAAGATAGTGATAGAACTGTGTATGCTTGTTCAAATATAAGACAAATTCTCACAAAACAAACCATTCTGCATTTTTGCTAAACAAATTATGAGGCATTGCAATGTAAGTATCAAGGTATCTTTTTTAATCTCAAACGTGACCTTTTTCTTAGCAGTTATTATCACGCTCAAAGGCAAGATAAGAGTTTCAAAATGCTTATGTGCCAGAATTATCCTCAAATGTTCCTTCAAATGTCATGGAGATCCCTTCTGGCAGCTGACAATGTTTTTGCTGCTTTAAAATTCCCAGTAAAGTGATATTAAAGACCTGGAAAAGACACTTTTCTAATCTTCAGGCTGATGTGGCAGCAGAGGCTATGAATGGGATTTCACAGTTATTTGAAGAAAATCACAGAAGGGTTCATAATGTTCCAATGGGAGACACAGTATATCACAAGGCATCGGGCAAAAAAAGGAAAGACCAAGTATGCTGTCTTTCTAGGCAATCACTTCTCAACATTTCTCGAGTATCAGTAAACCTGATTATGAGTCTGAAGTCATTTATTCTTAAACTCAGCTCAAAAAAATCTGCCTCTTGGTATAAATCAACTCTTCTCAGGGCAGATTCAGAAACATATCACAGGTGGGATTCAGCTGGAAGCAAGAAGATTAAGTCTGGATCCCTTCAGGGACATAAAGATAATGACTAATGATTCTGTCCTCTGAAGTCAACGCCCAGAAAGAAGCTAAATGTATTTTAGTTAGATAGTAAAGTTCTTGAAGGATCAAATAAATCAGAAAAGTTTGATGATGAGTTTTAGATCTTAACAGAATAGCTTTCTTACATACGACTGCAACATGCAATTGAAAGAATATAGTAACATCTAAGCCATTTAGTTTGCATATAGTAATGTTGTGAGATCCTAAAACATGCACTTACACTTTTTCAGAGTTATAATTCCGAGTTGGCCATAGAGCTAGGGTTTTACATCCAGAGTTATTGACTCTTCACACAATTTTCACAGTTCTAGATTAAAAAATCATGCAAAGTAGATCAAGAATCACCCTGTTTTTAAGTTTACTTTGCTATTAAATGTATCCAGTGATAGCTCTCTGATATAACTATCCAAAGGTGCAAATGAAATAAAGGTGCAAATGAAATAAAGAGTAAACAAATAGGGTCTAAAAAGAATCAGGCTGTTTTCTACTGCAGATTAAATTACTTAATCACAATGTTATTCTTGTAAAATAGCCAGAAGCGGTAAAATTATGGACTTATTTTTGTACTTCTGGATTGTTCGTGCTATTTTGTTACATATTGCGCTTTGGCTTGGTCGTCCTGGTTCCAAGATTTAGAGTCATTAAAAAGCATTTTACTTTCCTCTTGTGGCCATGCAGTCACTGAAAAGGCTTTGTTAACATGATTCACTGAGAATTCTAATTCTGCATCATTACAATAGACACAAATGGACTTAATGGAGATAGACATGAGAGACAGTAAGCCTTTTAGTTGTTACTTAACTAAGAAGAAAGTCATAGAACTGTGACTGTATATGATTGCTAAAATATAAGGCAGTGGCAGTAACCCTTTGATTTAAATTTAATAATAAAGGTAATTCATGTGACCTCAAATTAGTTCACAATGTGACGTTATTTATGAGTGCTGCAGTACTTATTGATTTATTGTTGATCAATGTCTGCCTTATAGGTTCGCTTCCAAAGCAGTGATATCTTCATTGATGAAGACTTCAGTATGATCCATAACATCAGCCATGGAAGAGGACATGAGACATTAGAGGTTATTGAAAGCTATGGACTTAACCACAGTGACCCCCTGGACATGTTTGAAGGCATGGAGCTTCTTCTGCAGTTCAAACCTCTCTTCCTGCCGCTCTACATTCTCATAGTGGTTGTGGCTGGGGTTGGAAACTCTTTCCTGTTAGCTTGCATCATGGCCGACAAGAAACTCCACAATGCCACCAACTTCTTCATCGGTAACTTGGCAGCAGGAGACCTGCTGATGTGTTTGAGCTGTGTTCCACTGACTGTGTCTTATGCCTTTGATACACATGGCTGGGCTTTTGGAAGACCCCTCTGTCACCTGGTACCTTTGCTGCAATGCGCTACAGTGTTTGCATCGGTGCTCTCACTCACTGCCATTGCTGTGGATCGCTACATTGTTGTTGGTGAGGAAATTACATTTCAATAATAATTTCTTACTCATGAAATGTATTTTCTCTAGTGTTAAAACATTTTTTTACATTTATTTTAGTATCTGAAAATGTATTTTCTGAGTTTATAATGGAAATGATATTTGGCCATCAGAGTATCCAGGGGTACTAAATTAATTGGCTGAAATCTTCTCAATGACTGAACCGGTTTCCACCGGATTATTACATTTATTAAAACTCAACCTTAGAGTAATTTGAAAGATGCTCTAATACTTTATTAAAATGTTGACTTTAATGTAGAAAAAAAACACTGCTTTGAAGCATTTACCTCCAATGCCTTAACAGCATACCTTTATCTTTTCTGTCTCAGCTCACCCAATAAGACAAAGGATCTCCGTGATGGGGTGTGGTGCAGTGACTGTGGTTGTCTGGCTTGTATCTCTGGCCTTGGCTGCACCTCCATCTCTCTACACGCGCTATTTGGATCTGCGACCCAGCGGCATTGACCTTGTTGTGTGCGAGGAGTTCTGGCCAGACAGTGGCAATCTGCGGCTTCTCTACTCCTGTTTCATTCTTATAGCCTCCTATATGGTCCCGCTGCTGTCCGTCAGCTTATCCTACTGCGCTATTACCGTTAGCCTAAAGCACTATTCAGTGCCTGGGGAGCCGTCCAATAGCCAGCAACGCTGGAGCAAAAGGAGAAAGAAGACCTTCTCTCTGCTGGTGGCCTCAGTGCTGGCCTTCGCCTTGTGTTGGCTACCCCTACAGGTGAGTCTTAAATCCAGATTGCTAGAGACAAGACCAAAGCCAGACTAAATTTAAAGGCACCTTTATTATTCCCTTGAGTCTTTTATATAATCTGTTTTGAAGAATTTGAGAAAGATCCTTGTACAAAAGACATGCTTGGGGAGGAAATTCACATGTATACAAATCTGCTGGAAACTCTCAAACTTCACAGCAGTACAGTGATAAAAATAGAGGAGCCTTAATGGTCCATGAAATAGTTTATTATTACACATCATTTACCACAGCGGGTCTTCATCCGGTAATTTTGTCTACAATAACAACATTATGTCCACTATGTGCCATGCACAAACAAATAAGGATGTCAACGTCATATTACTGAAAGAAAGACATTGTTACCTTTACAGTAGGATTGTGTTTCCAAAAAACATTTTGTGCAAACAGTCCCCTGTGGTCTAAATTAAACATCTGTGCTTTGCTTTGGTCAAAATATAACATGAATCAAGCACCAGAGGAGGTTTGTGACCCTGTATGAACCAGCTCTCTTAGAACGCTCCTTTTTGGTATCTGTCTCTTTAAATGCAATGAACCCCTCAGAGTTTTCCCGGTAGACACCACTCCTTCGCTAGAGGGAATACATTTTTTCTTCTAGGCTAGGGGTGTAGTCCATGGGTGGAGATATCAGGGGAGGGGAGGGTATATTTTTTTTACCAGAATCCCAATGTGACATCACAAGGAGAGGACATTTGAAACTGAACATTTTTCTGTTTGGTAAGACTCATGCAGACCACAAACAAAGGACTGGATGGATTTATTTCACCTTTTGTGGGTTGGTAGACACTCAAGTTACCCAAATAAATGCACTGTAAAAGTGGATTTGTCATAATATGTCCCCTTTAATACAATTCAATACACAACTTTTTTCATGTCCATAGGTGCTGAACTTGTTACTGGACCTGGACCCAGACTTCCACATCATAGGGAAGCGCTATGTGAACGTTTTACAAGTCTGCTGTCATCTAGTGGCCATGAGCTCTGCTTGTTACAACCCGTTCATCTACGCCTCCCTACACAGTAAGGTGTGCATGCACTTAAAAGGCCTCCTGTGTCCTTGTAGGCAAAGGGGAACGGTGGATAGATCCACATCAATGAATTGATTTTTGACCATGACTCTAGTAAAAGCTGCTATAAAAAAGTTTGTTTCACCCACAATCTACAGCACCTGCACCCCTAACACCGATGTTAGGTGTGCTTAAAACCAGACCTCGGCATGTTTTCCGGCATGTTTTCAAAAACATTCAGTCCTCTCTTGTAAAAATGCTACATAAGGTCAGTTATGACACACAGTAAAAAGAAGCAGATCCAGGCCAGAGTGTTGAAAAAGAATAAGCAATGCATTGGGATGTTTTTCTGGGATAGCCAAGCTGCCAGCAAAGAGACACGAAGCAGATCCATCAGCTTTAAAAAGGCCAGCAGCTGCACAAATAGACCCCTAGAAGAGAGGTCTGTAGAAGACTTATGCTCGAGGTTTGGGCCAGGGGTGGCTACTCTGCTAATAACCTTTGGTAGCACTTGAACCGTAAACACTATGCTGAAGAGAGCTGAGCAAACCACAAACTCCTCCACCAGACATGAGCTACAGGCAAACAGGGATGTGAAATTGTGATTTTGTCTCTGAATGTCTATGCTTTTAGATATCGCTGTTGTTTTCAACATCATCAACACATCATTTATACTAAAGTCTGCTTTGAATGTGATTCTCTGTATGTATCCTTTATGCACATGGATTATTACATTTGTATGGACCGGGTGGAACAGATCAACACAGCTCTGAGGGATTAAACCTGCAGTTTATAATTTACCCTGAAATCTTATTAATACCAAATTCACACAGGTGTTAACTGATCAACACAGTCTAGGTGTTTTGGATCTGGCATAGCACAATGATCAACTTAATATTCAGAGCATGAACAATAGAGTTACACGTAAGCATCTCTGCATGCTGCTGTTTTGTTCCCATCAACATTGATTAATGGTGGCTTTGTTTGTCAAAGCCTGGGTATCACGTCAATTTCTGTCTACTATTAAAAGAGAACTGCCTAATGTGATTCAAAAGTATTTACATATCATTAATTCGTTTAAATTTTTTATTCAGAGTTCTGCAGCTTCCATAATTTATTCTATTGCTTAAAGTCTCAATGCATTACACACAACAAGTCATCAAAGTGCAAGATAGACTTTCCATCATCAAACCCAATCACTCAGTTCAAAATAGCCAACACTATTTGTGGGCAACTGGTAGGAACAAAATAAATAAAAAATGCAGCTGTAGCACACGCTTATATTCCCCAGCAAAGGCTACCGCAGGAGCACAACTGACATATTTTCAGATTACTTTTCCAAAAGTTGCCCTGATTTTTTTTATGGCGTGCTTTTAAGCAGGGAGGTATATTATTTAAAAGGGAAAGATCACCTTGCTCCAGTGCCAAAAAATCTTCTCGGAAATTTTTTTGGCATAAAACTCCATACAGTAGATGTATATAAATTTAAAGAACAATACTAAGTTTCATTTGCAATTAGTGCCCTGACAACAGTCTCTTACGGCTTCAGGGGATTTTTTTTGTTGTTGTAGTACCACAAGTGGCAACAAGGACGAGAAAGAAAAAGTATCTTCTGTATAAATAGACCCAGACATATCATATCAATCGGTAGGTAAGCTGCTGTGTTACAACCTTCTTCAAAACTACAGAAGTGACCATCTTTATTACTTTTGTCTATTGATGCCAACCATGGGCTAAGCATACATGTTGCTGTTATATGCACTGTATTATCACTGCCCCTTTAGTTGTGTGGATGGTGCATAGAGCAGCATCATTTTATTTCTTCCTTCACAATACATGGATTTTAAAAAAAGCTTGTTTGACTTGAATTAAAGGTGCGCTATGGAGTTTTGGTACAGAAATGTGAAAGTGTACAGATTCTTTGGTAAATGTTCATAACTCTATACACAAACTTTCTTCAGAGGAAAATTTAGTCCCTGGAACACAGTTTGAAGATAAAATGCTATGCGAGACGTTACGGTGGTGGGCCTGCAACAGTGAAAGCGTAACTTTCCTGGTAGCTTTTTATCTCCAAACAGTGTTCCAGGGACCCATTTTTTCTTTGAGTAAAGTTTTTGAATTCAGTTCAGAAAATATAGCATAGAATTGTTTCACTTCTCCAACTTTCAAATTTCACTACCAAATCTAGTGCACCTGCACGAAATGGGTGTGTACATCATATGTCAGGACATTATTATTATTTCAAGAGATTACATCATACACCTTAAAAAAAGAATACACTTACTTTAAGATGCTTAATGATGAACATGTACATATATATATATATATATATATTTACAAAAGTTATTTATTTCTTTGAATGTTTCTGTATATGTACTTGAGCTGTTAACTTGAACAACGAAAGAGGATACTGTGGTTGTGTCTGTAGTTGCACATGGTGCATTGAGCCAGACATCACAGAGAAAACAAGCGTGATAGTTCTTGTTACTTCCTGTCTGTAAATTAAATTGTTGTCAAATGTTTTGTGTCTGTATTTTGTATTTACTTTTATCTTAACACTTAACGTCCTAAATGTTGAGCAGAAAACTATTTCAGGTTTCGAGTTTCTTTAGTCTTCACACATTGCTGAATGAGTGTGTGTCTGTTTGAGGGTTGGTTAGATGGTGGTCAGGGTTAAGTTTGTAACAATCATTGACATTTGAAAGTCCGGGGGAAGAAAAACCATTCAAGCTTATCTGTAATTTCATTGATATTTGTGAGAAACTCTTATAGAGAGAGGCTTGAATTATGTGAGAGAAATTGTGCTCAATTCGAAGTGTAAATTGATTAAACCCTTTCTGGGAAATGTGTGTAATGTATAAATGTATAAACTCAATCCAGCTCTGACACCATTACAAAACTTTTTATGCACCCCCTTCCCACTGTATTTTGTACAAGTTACAAGAGATGTTTTCATTCAGCAATATTTATAACAGCAGGAAGCAATAAAAAGGCTGAGTTTATTTTAACAGTCCAGGTAGGTACACATAATGTAGAGTCAAATCAGCGTAGCAAACATATCTAAAAAGAGGGAGTCAAAAAGGCAAAAGTCAAAAGGCAGGAAATGGTAAAACAGTAGAAAACTCATAGGCTAAGGAATGCTGGAATGAGGGAAAACACAACGAGCTGGCAACATGAGAGTGGACACACAGGGATTACATACACAGACAATAAGGGAATAACAAGACACAGATTGGCCCAATCAGGGCGGGGGGAGCTGGAAAACACAAGGCTGGAAAACATGAGGAGCAGGATCTACAAGACAGAGACAAGGGTAAGTACAAAATAAAAAACAGGAAATGACAAAAATACTAAAATAAATGTACAAAAACAAAACATAACCTTGGGTAACTCGACAGACTGTGCTAGCATTAATGGTTGTTAATTGGGAGTGTAGTGGCTATTTGTCCAAAAAACAACCCAAAAAAATCTAAATAAATTAATATAAAAAATAATCAAATGACCACTGATGCACTGTGGCTCCCGCTGCCTCTCTTGATCTGGTAAGAAACAATAGGCCCACCCAGGTGCATGCTGGTCCTCCACCTGCCTCTTACTTAAATAATCTCCGGTGCCCACAGTATTACCCAAATACCTAACAAAAATACTAAGACAAAACTAAATTTACTAAACAAATAACTAGCAAAAAAGAAAACATTACCCAAAATCTTCTCTAAATAAAGAAAACGTGTAGAATAATTAAATAAACAACACCACCCAAATATTTAGTAAACTAAAAACAAAACTAATTCTAACCCCAATTAAATAGCTCCAACAGGGAGAAACACCTTCAGGTCATGGTGAATTTGAAGCTTGATCCAAAGGCAACTGGACTGGTTGAAGATCTTGAAGATGTTTCACCTCTCCTCTGAAAGGCTTCTTCAGTTCTAAACTGTCTGGTTCATGGAGTTAGAAATGTAAGCCTCTGTAGATCATTAGCATGATCACGGATGACTTGCATCAGAGTCATTAGCTGAGTTGTTAACCTAGCATCAACAGTCGTCTGAGGGTCCTTGGAGTCACATGTTCATAGGATTCAAAACAGCATTGTAGGTTGGTGAAAGATGGTGTCTCAAACCACCACCTTGGTTAAGAGATGGTTTTTCTACCGTAACATAGATGGCTTCTTTAACACCCCTTTCAAACCAATGGTCCTACTTGGCCAGGATATGCACTTTGTCAACCCTCAAAGGAATGTCCTTTGTATTTAAGATGTAAATGGACTGCAGAATCCTGTCCTGAAGAGCTGGCTCTCCTATGCTGTGCCATGTGTTTTTATAATAAAACTAAACAACCACTTCATAAACGCACCAGATAGTTTTGAACTGAAGAAGCCATCAGAGTGCCGAAACGTCTTCAAGATCTTCAACCAGTCCAGTTGCCTTTGGATCAAGCTTCGAATTTACCTCGGAATATAGCAATCAGTACATTATTATTATCCTCTGTGACATTGCTATCTCTTTATAGGAACACTGATTGCAAAGCTGGCATAAAATTTAATTAGTGTGTAATATGGAAGTGGTTGGTGATAATCCATTTCAGTGGGTTTCTCGAAGTTTTGTTTAGTAGGTCTTATTTAAATCTATTAAATCTTCTGATTTTAATTTTTCCTGTCGCACATGCACACCATTACCTGTCTAAGTGTTTTTTGGGTTTTTTTATATTAACTGCCTCATTCTCTCTTAGCATTTCTGCTCTCCTCCATATCCTTGTGATCTATTTGTTAGTGTTTTTCTGAATTCTTCATAGAAAAGACAACATCCAGGTTTCGACACATCTCAAGTGAATCAATGACAACATGCCGTACAAGAAACACAAATTGAAGCTCAATAAACATATTGTTTAAACATTTGGAACATTATTGAATTATGTACAGTAATTTAATTTAATGGTGGCAGCCTGACAGTAGTCAGAGCACAAATTGAATTTAAATATCCTGCTTTTAGATTTGCTTATGTAATGTTGAAACTCTAATTATAAACCACTTTGTGTTTGTAGGTTAGAAATGCATTAAGTTAATATTTATACTTTATTGATCCGTAATAAAGCAAATATTGTAATGCTTCCTTAACAGGTCCATTAATCTACAGGAGTGGATTTTTCTAAGAAAATGAATTGTAGAATTATCGTGTTTGTTTCAGTAATTCTGAAATGTGCATTACTAGCTTTACAATGCATGACCAATAAACACATTTCA